TCAGTCAGGATACACATCTTCGAAAGGAGAAGGGAAAGCATGCCTCCATCGCCTCGAGCTCAGGCAGGAAATACGCGTTGGGGGAGAGGCGCGGGGACGGCAGACCACCCGGGGTCGGCGTCCCTGCGTCGTGCTTCCCATTCCCATTGCCACTGTTGCCGTTGGCATTGTGGAAGTGGTGCGCAAAGGCCGCGTGCGGGTCGAGCGTCAACGGCGCGTCGAACGCGTTGTTGCCGTTGCCGTTGTGCCTGCCATGCCACCCTCGTCAGCATCGATATTCTCTTTCAAAGGAAGCAAGTGAAAAGATACGAACCCATAGTGAAACGCATCGAACCCGCCCATATTGGCACCGCGCATGATCTCGTCCCACCCCGCCCAGTCCTCGCCGATGTTCATGGTGCTGACGCCCACGTCGGCCTTCGCGCCCGCGCCCATCCCCTCGTTGTCGCCGCTCTCACTGCTCGCCTCCTGCTCCTGCTCGCTCGACTGCGCCTCCTCCTCGCCCATCATGTCCATCCCCATCTCAATCATGCCCATGCCCATCTCCTCCCCGTCCGCCTCCGCATTGAGCAGCTCGTCCAGCGGCAGCTCGATCGTCGGGCGCGCAATGCGCATGTCGTCGTCCCTCCCCCTCCGCCCGCCGCCCTCCTTTTCCTTGTCGCCCGCGTCACGGTCCGCGTAGTGCGTGTGCGCCTCGCCGTAGTTCATGCGCGGGGCAAGCGAGGGCGCGGGGTACAAAAGCGCCGCGGGGCCGAAGGACGTGCTGAAGATCGTGGGGAGGCGCACGGTCACGCCGTCCTCGCTGGTGCGCTTGCGCTTCGTGTTGCCATTGGCGTTGGCGGTGGTGTTCTTAGCAGCGTTAGAGGCGGGGGCAGGCGTGGCCGTGAAGGTCGTCGTGGCAGCGTTATTATTGGTGTTGGCAGAAGAGGCGGACACGGACACGGAGGAGGCAGAGGCAGAGGCAGAGGAGGGCGCAGGCGGGTCGACCGCGAAGGTGAACTGCATGCGCTGGATGATGTGCTCGGGGGTGTGCATGCTCGCCTCGCGGGTGCGTTCCTTCTCGACGGCGCGCTGGCGGATGAGGTCCGTGGAGGGGTTGCGCTTGAAGTCGGGCGCGGGGAGCTCCTCGATGGACCTGGGGTGGTTATTGTGGTTAATACAAGAATAGAAAGAATGAAAAAAGAAGGGGGGCAGAGGACAAAGACGTGGCGCGACGCAAAGTACAAAGAAAGGTCAAAGTAAAAGAAAAGAAAAGTCCAGTAGGTGTAGAGGCGAAGAGAAGGGAGGTAGAGGACAACGACATGACGCGACGCGAAGTCCCAAGTACAAAGTCACAGTCAAAGCGAAAAAAAATTATAGGGGGTAACCTACCGGCCCTTTTCCTTGTCGAGTTTATCGCCCATGCATTTCGAGAGCTTCTTGAATTCACGCTTGGATTTGGCGTTGTCGGTGTCGACCATCAAGTTCTGGAGGTGCCATAGCCTGCGCGCCCGAGTCATTCTTCCATAACACACGCAGCACAGTAGGACAAGGACGTACCGCCACGACAAGTTCTCCAGACGCTGTCCTTGCTCGAGGTAGCTCGCGACCTTGGTGCAGACCTGCCCAGCGTTAGCTCTGACACGAAAAAAGTCGGCGAAAAATCGGAGAAACGCCAGCAGCGCTGGACACAAAGGAAAAGCACAACGAATAGAAAGAAAGGGATGCACCTTCCAGGTCTTGGTCAACGACTCGGTGTCATTGAGGTTGCTGAACGCAACAAAGGACTTGTTACCCTTCAGGCGCGAACAAAGGCGGCGCGCAAAGAAGAAAAGGGCAGAAAAAAGTCAGGATAGCTCGGGTGCGCAGGGCGCAGGACGGACTTTGAACTTGAGGTTGAGGATAGAGGGCATTCAGAGATGGATAGACTGTACTAGCGCGGGCTAGCGCAGGGGGCAGAAAACGGAGACAAGAAGAACAGAAAACAGATCAGACGATGACTTATACGAACTACACCCGACCCCCAATTAAGGAAACTAATGCACGTTGCACCCAATACACCTGCTATTCCCCCTTCTTTCTCTTGTACCTGCCCTTGCTGTCTCTCAAATATTCTGCCTAGTCGATAGCTAGTATATGTCTTTGTCGCGGCGCAGTAGGCGCAAATGAGCGGGCGCACACCGACGCACGAGGCGGCTGGGTACAGCATCGGGATCAGCCTCATGGCATGGCACATTGGCGTCGATCCCCAGCGAAATGAAGTGTATGCCCTTAACCCAGCTTGCCGAAGCAGCCCCTGCTTAGCGAGGCCTCGAGGCACAACGCGTGATGGCTCGGGTCCTCGTACCGGCCTCGAGGTGCCGGTTCATCTCCTTCCTAAAAACACATCAGATTCCTTCTCGTCTGCAATTAATCTCCAGCGAGCGCTTTCTCCTTCCGCTGCGGGGTAATACTGAACTCTGCAGCACAACGGCGGATTTCTCACACAAACCCAATCACAGCCGCCGTGCGCCGTGCTTATCCTCGGACCTCAGTGGCGTCTAGCTCGCACGGCTCTTGCCAGTGAGCGTCAATTGAACGCGATCACGATCGAACGCGCTAATTAGCATGGCGCGTAGATAGTCTACGCGACGTATCTAACCTTGGTCGCTACTTATCTACGCGCCAATTATGATCCCCCCGGGAGATAACGCCCGCTTGTGAAGCCTAACCGACGTTCCCTAAGAATACAACTTGAACTATGTAGTAGAATAGAGTAGAATATATAAAACAACTCTGATACTCACCTCCCTCCGCGGATCCCAACATACAAAGATCAGACGTTCCCGACGTCGCCAGATGCAAGAAGTTACTTTGAACGCCGACACAGCCATCGCGTACCCAGAGAACCCACAACCCCAATAACTATAGAACCGCCGCCGCCGGCAGTATCCTGCCTACCACGTCGCGTCGCGTATTTAGCGCGGGGACGGCGGAATTGAGTACCCTTCGAATGCAGGTGCAGCCCGCTTCGAAATTGAGATTCTCCTCCTCATGCCAGTGCTCGCTTCGAGGGAAGACGGGCCTAAGTGGGCGCGACAAGTCGAGGCCTCTGAAGCGATGGAGATGAATTCATTCCCCCCTCCTCGAATACCCAGGGGTGCCATGATATTGCTTGCGAAGACCTGCACTGTACGACACCAGGTACCGCGCCGGCGCCGGCGTACTGCCAGTGTAACGGAATCATCATCCAAACTTCAAAATGTCATTGGCCCTGTAGCTGGGTACTGGGCAGGGAACGACAAGCAGAACTTTCCCTGCGTGCCGTGCCGTGTCGTGTAATTCTCAGTACATACTGGCAAGAACGACGGCAGAACACCTTACGCGTGTTAGAGACAGCTAACGGAACTACCCCACTTCCCGCTTCCGACCCCACTAACGCGATACTGTCTGTCCGTGTGAGCCTGAGAGCCGCCGGAACCCTCCCGCGTTAGGTCTAATCACCTCTCACCCCGCACCCCCACCTCCCACTTCGCGCGTGCCATTGGCACTGGCATTGGTGATTTCCGACGTCGGTCTGACTCTGAATCTATTTTATTTAATGAGATTTCTATATGCTGCGTATTTATTTAATGCCCGGCCTGAATTGATTTATTCAATGAGATTTGATGCCACTGTCAGCGCTAGCGCTGATGCTGCGTTGTGGGTGCATGCAAATATGCTGTCGGCCAGGTGTTGGGATGTCGGTGGCGCGGCGTGCCTTTTGTGCTGTTAATATTAATGATACCGGGGCAGATAGCAGATAGGGGTTTGGTTGTCTTCATCCTAGCTTGTCTCGGATAGAAATTAAACTCCAATCCGGCCTACGTGGGAAAATTAAACTGAATCGAATTCTCCTCAACGGGGCTTGTTGCTGAAAATCCAACCTAGTGAGCAACCGCACAGTGTGAGTGCACCCGGCCAGTTAAACTGTCCAACCTCTAAAAGGATAAGGCAGGCAGGATAAAAGGTTTAGTTTCGTTTCGTTTCGTTTCGTTTACCTTCTTGCTCCATCAAGCCTTATATTACTCAAGCCTCAACACTAGCTCGCCGGCCCGTTCTGCCCGCAGTTGAACTTGTGCTCACAAGTTCGTGATGGATCTGCGTCTTGGCTCTGCGACGGCGACGAACGACGGTGCCGGGGTTCCGACTCCCGAAAGGTTCCGTCCAGCGCCTGTAATAAGAACTTGACTCGAAAAAAAAAGTTGAAACGAGTTGGAGAAACACTCCCGAATATTCAACTTCAAGTCTCATCCACTCCACCCACTCGGACGTTCCACTCCCACAAATCCAACCAATTCCGAATTCCACAAATTCCAAATTCCGGTACGAACCCACCGGACCATCCGCGTGGTGAGCATCACATTTATGATTTCTTGATCTCATTTGTCTCATTCGGAATTCGCGCGCCTATTCGGATTCGCACTTCCCCTCCTAATGGGCTTGATTCGGAGGTCAGTTCCCCAACGAACGAAAAAGAACAATTGACCATTTGCAAAACAAACGGGAAAACGGCCTTCCGCCCTCTTCCGCCCCAAAGAAAATGAAACCGCGTATGAAGGACTTGCGAAGGACCTTAATGAAATAGAATGAATTACCCTCCGACTCGGAGTCCCTTCTTAACTTCTTACACAATTTAATTCGCCGACACCACCCGAGAACCCCATACACAAAAAATTACCCACCAATGGCGTGCTCCTCGCAAATCCTCCCACCCAGAGAATTTCACGTTCCTGATCCTTCGGTCCGTTCGCCCCGCAACGATTTTCGTCGTCCCAAAACGGAAGTCGGCGGTGAAAATTGATCCCATCACTTTTCTTTGATCTTTCCCATCCTCCCGAGACGCACATCCCCCCTTCCTCCCCTTCATCCTAAATATCTCAAATTATTACTGGGGGTACCATAGACTTTGAAGAAAAATTGTAAAAAGTTATCTGGCGTCTTCGGGGCTTCCTGAGCACTTTATCCTTGAAGCTGGGGCATTAAAGCCGGAGCAAAAAGAATGGACAAACTGGGAATTGAACCCAGCACCTCCCGCAGCCCTATTACGTAATCAATTGCGGTGCGAAGCGGGCGCGATAACCAACTACACTATTTGCCCGATGAAAACTTCAGGTTAAGAATCGATCATGTCCACCCGGATTTATTTTTGGGGAACAACTGCCCACTGGTTGCGTCTCTACCCTCGCCCTCTGTGGAAGGAAAGAGGGAAGTGCAGGAGAGCCCATGGGAATTCATTTTTCCAGCATCAGTCAACAAAGCAAAACAAAGTGTCTTGCTTTGAACTTGCAGCACAAACGGCGGCGGGGTGTTTGAAATTGCTCAACAATATCTGAATCCCACCGTATTCATGGGGATTCATGCCTAGATGGAAGACAGATTTATTGGAATGGGGAGGGAGATGGAAAGGAACCCGTAAGATCTGGGTATTTTGATGTGATTATTACTGGCCGATAACACTGACAAAACTCAAACAAAATTAGGTGCTAGAAGTTCTGCATTTTAAACTGAGACAATCACAAGTGACTAGTGCATGCAAAAATAGAGAACTTCAGACGGAATGCATAGAGTAATATTTGGACAGAGTGTTTGGCAGTACGGGAGCCGGGATTCAGCGGTAGGAATAAAATACGTCCATCGTATTCAGTGATCGCGATTCAGAACGCAATGGAAGTTGCCCGTTGTAGTTTACTATGAAATTAAGATTTGCTATGACTGAAATGTGACCAGGGATTTATCGCAAGTGAGGACACCATGAGTCCGTACGAAAATTGGGCATTTCGATACGGTTGTATTTTGCCGTGATCGGAGCGACGAGACTAGTCCAAAGTTAATTTGTATAACTGTTGTTTCGGGCGCGTCTAAACTTATTGAAAGCGAGGAAATAAACGGGTTACCGCGACAGAAGAAATTCAGAAGCGTAATAAATGGACGCAGCTTTCCAGACAGATTTGTTCGAGAACTAGGGCCGGGCCGTAGCGATAAAATTACTGCAACATTGGGAAGAAATTTACATTTGTGGTAGAGGCACTCTAGCCTCAATCAGTACCCCAGGACCCACACTCAAAGCAATCCATCTTTCATTTCGCGCATTGCCGAAACTAACTACCCAACTCACTCATGAATCTAGCATCACTAATCGCATTCATATCACACATGCCCTACGCCCACTTAACAATGCAACCATCTCGCGCAGGAAACAGCATGGCGTGGCGTCCATTGCCGACAGCACCTTGAGCTTCTACTCCAGTGGGGAGTTGCGCAGTCAACTTCGCCCCTGGCCGACAATTCTGCGATGGAGAATCGGAGCACGGTGGTGCTATAGTTGGAGCAGGCTTCCAGTCACTCGGCCTCGGGTATTCGCATGAGAACTTATCAGAAGGCGAGTCGGATAGCACAACATGAAAGCGACAGCCTGGCGCGGCAGGATATCGGACAGTATCAGGGTGAGCACGACGAACGTGTATGCACCCACCAAGATGTGGTGTCTGCATGTATGAGATAGCAACGAAACGGCTTGACCAACCGTGGCATCGCGTGTTCCCATCCCAAATGCACTCCGAAGCAGAAGCTAAGCATCTACGGAGAGTCTCCCCGAGGGCCCGACCCTTCTGGGCAAGTTCCAGCGGGGAGTTCCAAAAATAGTGCTGGCGGTGCTGCTTAGTGCGCGATGAATACGCACTGAATACATTCGCTGATTGCCAAAGACGATCAACGCTGATTACGACGGATCGCCCCGCATTCTCAGGATGTCAAGACGCGGGACCGCGAAAATGCGGAGAAGCAGAATCGTATCGCGCGATCACGATCGATTGAAGGCGCACCGGCGGGGAGATGAAAATTAAAGAGCGTTGATCCGCTTGAGGCACCTACCAGATCGTCGAGCGGAATCTATGCCGGGAGATTGCCAGACGGACACTGTGGGCGTATATCCGACAAGCATAGCGGCAGCAGCAGCGCGCAACGCACAATACAGGCATGACGTAGCGTGCAGTTCGGCAGGAAATTTTCTAGCCAACCTTCTGGGGCGACCCCAATCTCGAGTTTCGAGGATCTGAGAAGGTCGTGTACGTTAGATCACGATCGGCCCTTAGTAAGGAAAATTTCCACTTTGAGGTTATCGATGAGGATAAGGTATCGACACAGGGTGGTATGAGAATCGTGAGGATTTATCGCAGGCTCAGTCAGCTAAGTTTGCGAGTGAGACTGACAAGCTGCAGCACAGTCTTCTGCGTTATCGATGGGAGAACGTCAATAGTACTATAGCGTAAAACACATGTGTCGGCGGCCGCACACGCAGTGTAGAGCAAGGAGATTCGGTACCAGTCGAGGCTAAGAGCCAGGAGCCATGGAAGTTTGTCAGAGAAATTTCGAAAGATGATAAAACTCGGATGTACTTATATTCCCGGTATTGTGATGAGTCAGTCTATCGGCATCCCAGGAATTTGTGCCGGCAGGTTGTATCGAAAGTTCGGTGGCAGAAATTAGCGCCACTTCGGATCAGTACTTGGCAGCGTGCGCAGGAGATGGAGGAAAGAAAGAGAAGAATGAGGCTGTGCTCTGATTTGTGTGGGTTGACACCAAGACTTTCAAATTGTCACAAACGACGCGTCACCAACGTCACGGGATCGTTCCTCTTTCCGCACACCAGAACTGTGAGAACAACTTGCCGCAACTCCGCGTTCACAGACTTCTTGGTAGCTATGCACGATGCCTGAAGTTTTGCTGCCACCTCACCTGACTCTCTAGAAACCTTTGCTCGACTTTCTCGACAATTCTCGGGTAGTGATGTTCTGGCTTTGGCTTGGCCTGAAAGCCATGGCTTTGGCCCGGCTTTGAGTGGCTTTGGCTCGCTGAAATCTCAGGCCAGGCCAAAACATTTGGCCTTGGCTTGGCTTGGCCTGGCTTTGGCCTAGGCCATGGCTTTTCCATCAAGTTTATACTTGCGCGAGAAAAAAGGTGTGGAGTGTTCAAATAAAGCTTTATAAAAGTTAGAGAGGTTCTAAAGACTTCATTAGCATTTTGGGATCTACCAAACTTCGAACAGATCTTCCAGAATGGATATTAAAATTTTTGTTTTGTCGAAATTAGATCTTCCACGGCCGTGTGAGTGCAAATCTGTGATAGGACGCGGCTCCGAATGGGGGTGAAATGACCTCTATAGACTCGATGTAAGTATTTTTGTCAACATTTTTTCGACCATGTTGCTGCACACAGAGGGAGTCCAGAAGCCTTGGCTTTTTGGCCCGGCTTTGGCCTGAGAGATGGCCAGGCTAGGCCAAAAGCCATGCCAGGCCAAAATTTTGGCTTGGCTTTGGTCTTGGTACCAAAGCCAAAAAGCCATGGCTTTTTGGCCTGAGGCCAAAGCCAGAACATCACTATTCTCGGGCCTATCTGAATCTTGCCATGCCTATTTAGCACCTCCAGGACCCCCATCCTCAAACTTTGAGAGAGAAAGGATATTTAAATCCATGTCTGACCCCAAATGTGTGTTTAAATTTTTATTTTTCAACTTCCATTCTCGTGGAATAGAAAGAGCAGATTATGTCAGGATTTGTCATCTGTTGAGCCATCAAAGTTCAAACTCCTGGTTCTTCGACTCTGCCGCCACGGGTGAGAAAGTTTTCAATTTATGCCAATAAATACTCATTTGACTTCATATTTGTGAAAAACTTGTTCTGGAATGCATACCAGCATCCGAATTGTTTTTGTGATTTGTAATAACGCGGCCAGCGATCAACGCATCAACCTTTTCGACAGACTACAACATGCGAGGTACGAGCACCATATTGTTGTAGCGTCTGTTTATAAGAGACTAATCTGAATCAGTCTGAATCTGAGAGACTTCGGCTATAAGTATGGCTTTTCGACCGATAAATGGACTCCATATACTCAACAAACTTGCACCGTCGCTAAACTACTCGTTGTTTGCCAAATCCTTGTCGGTTGTGAGTCATTTAGCCGCCTGAATAATCCTTTTTCTCCGATAAAAAGCAGGACCACTTGACTAGAAATGTCGACGATTTGGTCCCTCAGTCACGTCCCAAACGTCGTTCCTGCCTGCCTCTGCCGAGCGTCCTAGGAACTTGGTTTTTTGCCAGAGCCCCTCTATGCAGTGACATACTTGCAGTGTGGTACCTCGAAGCCCTTACATTTCATCAAGTCTCCCCCCAGTTTGATGCTGAGGCTAGTGTTGCCGCGGTCCGGTTCGGTCCAGTTCAACGTCTGATTTTTCCGAACCCAGGACTGGACCTCGGGTTCGGTTCAGCGAAATTATTGAACCTTGGACTGGACCTCAGGTTCAGGTTTGGCGAGGTTCGGTTCAGGTGCAGAGACGGTTCAGACGGGTTCGAACCGATTTTTGTTTCCCACGGCCCTAATCACTTGAAAAAATGTTTGCAGCGCTCGTTTACAACAAAAGAAACCACCCACCCCCCAATATACCCGAGTATATCCCCTTCCCAAGGAACGCTGGCCTCTTTTGGTATTTTTTGGGTATGACATTCAGGTCCTTCGTACCAGTTTCAATTAGCCAGATTTTTTTCCAACACTCTTCAGTCGCACTTGAGCTTAGACTTGGACTGAACATTTTCCTGTGGAAATTTTTTTTAATGAAATGTACAAATACTATCAAGAAAGCACATTTACCCTTGGTGTACGATGGAATTGGCAATCACAACATTGCTGAAAAGACTTCCACTGGTGGCCCATTCAAACTTGAAGATCAAATGGTAGTTGAAACAGAGTTTTTCGCTCCAACTGGGCTACTCTAAGTCAGAGGTTCGAATGGGTTCGAACCAGTTCAGCAAGGTTCACAGAATTCTGAAAATTTTTGAACCTTGAACTGAACCTTGGGTTCGGTTGGGCAAACTTCACAGCCACTGAACCGGACCAAAAGTCCGGTTCAGGTTCGGTTCAGGTTCACCAGCGGTTCAGAACCTGACCGCGGCAACACTAGCTGAGGCTCTCGATTTGAGTTGCAATTGCCTCGTTGGACGTTTTAAAGTCCACATGGAAGGAACCTTTCGCTTGGTTTCGAGAAGCTCAACACTTGCTAAGTGTTGAGCTTCTGCAAAGTGTTGAGCTTCTGCAAAGTGTTGA